CGACCTCGAAACCTTGGTCATTAACTCTCTCACCCCAAACGCGATCCTCAAGTAGAGATCTTTCTGGACCTTCCATCATTTCCTCACCTCTCATGCTGGCAATTCCCGATGCACCAATACTTTGTTGTACATTATGATATATTCCGACACCAATGGCTGGTGGGAATAATCGGACCCTTTTCTTGCTCACTAATTGTATAAAGAGATTCGGATTAGGATCTTTGTGCAATGGCGTATAACTTGTTGATATACCCATCCATATATTAGCATCGTAAATATCGCCTTTCCCAGCTTCCTTCACCACTCTTGGTGTGGGCAAGTCCTCTTGTAATTCTGTCGGCAGATCCGTCATTTGGGCCTGTGCAATGTAGAGCGGGAGAGTGCATGCGGGATTGGTGGCCGATAGAAAGAGAGAAAATGGTGCGTAGAAATGATAGAATGATTTTGTGGAATCGTAAGGCTCTAGTGATTGGCGTAGTTGCTCCGAAAATATCATGTGGTATTGATTGCTAGGCTGCATAAGCCGCTCGATTCGCTTTCGCAAGGCGTCAGAATCGACTGTCAATTCGTAAGGAAGGATAGTGTCTGCGAAGCTGTGTAGATATTGCGATGGCAGAAGAGTGCTAATCTTAGTAGATGGCAGCACTTTTGCAAATTGTGTCGAAGGAACGTGCCGGAACCATTTTGCCGTTACATCTATAGACTTCTCTTTGCCTGAGCTCGTCGATACTTTATCTTCCATGGATTTCATGAATATAGGCTTCATAGGAATGAAGGCTTCTTGTCTGAATTCATCGAGGTTGACATCGTCAAAAGAGGAGTTGATTGTTTGAACGGACGGTAGACTATGGTATTTGCGCATAGCAATTGATCGATAGGGTCCTCGTTTGCATTTTGTTGTTTGACATGGTGTACTGATTAGACGCAATCGCATGTTGTATGGTTGATGGTCTAATTCTTGCAATGCAGTTGAAAATTGACGTTTTTGGAAGGGTTAAGTATGGTAAAACGCATCTAATTATGTTCTCATTTTAGGTCTTTGGACGAATCAAATTGTATTGCTGGTTGAAAATTTATATGGTGAATTCTAGGTGGTGGAAGCGTTGTAAAAGTTACATTTTATTTATATCTTATTCGAAATCACTAAATTTTTTAATTGAATTACGATTTGAAATCTTGTTTATAGTTTATTAAGAACCTATAAAAAGCTTTAAATGTTTCAGATACTATAACCCTATTAATGTTGATAGAGAGCAAAGAAAAGCTTTAAATATTGAATTTTATGAAGGGAACAGCTCAATATCTATTCGAATAGCTTAAAGCAGCAGTAAAATCTATAAAAACAGCAAGATTTTATTACAACCTTCGTATTCGCAGGGATGATCTTAGCACGGCACTACGGATAGCACAGACCATTTAATTTAGCATAGCTGGTTGGCTCACTAGTGGCTCGGGCCGGTGACAATTAATAAGTACTAGACTACATCGTGGGTAAGTCTCCCTTCTATCAAATAAATACTTCTCTTCATAACCTATGTGATTCGAAGCTTTCCAGTCATCAGGGAATGAAGTTCTGTGTGCTTAGAAGTCTGGGTGCCTTTATCAAATTAATCCTCTAAGGTTTTGTCGTGAACTTGAATACATGTATACCAAACGGATTCTGCTTCTCCAAAGTGGTGGTTTTGCATATGTGCGGTTGAAGTATCTGTATACGATGTATGCATGCATGCATGCGGTGCTGACACCTCGGCCCGCACACTAAACAGAGACAGGAAAGTCATATTAAGTGTGGCTGGCTGAATAATGCATTCTCGCAGACCCCGCGCGAGCAGCCTTCCCGTTTGCTATTTTACCTTTAAATTAAAATGGTTTTTCGTTATTGTATCAATTAGGACCTTCCGCAAGCTCAGCTCCGACTTCTTATCGATCTCTACATACTTCGGGATACCGCCCAATCTACTTGTGTCAGTGAAATCCTTCGTCTACTCCTCATTGAAGCTCTAGAAGAGCCATTCACATTTTTTTTGGAAGTAAGCCTAATCATACGGGTATTTAGGTCAAAATGTCTACTCAGACCAAAGGAAATGTTAGTCCTGTCGTAATGACCCATGCCTATTTTCTTCTTGCCAAACGTTGAAATATAATAACGCTAACCTTTATTGCATCCACATATAGTATGGGAATATTGTCCGAAAAAACCATGAAGCCCATGAGTATACATATTACCCCATTGCTATCATCGGTGCCGGTGAATCGGGTATTGCTATGGGATGTCGTTTGAAGGAAGTTCTAGGTTTTGATCAGTTTCGCATATTTGACAGGCAATCGGGAATTGGAGGGACATGGTGGATCAATCGCTACCCCGGAGTTGCTTGTGATATGTCAGTTTCTCGCTCAGTCAGATTATATCTGACGATAGATTCATGCTAACACTTTATGATAGACCTTCAACATTCTATTCATTCTCATTCTGCCCAAAGTACGATTGGTCATGTTTTCATCCAGGAGGCGCAGAGATGGCCGAATATCTCCAGACTGTTTGCCAAAAGTATGCAATTGTGGATAAAATACAAGTCAATACCGACGCCAAAGAAGCACGCTGGCTTGAGAACGAACAAGTTTGGGAAGTAACATTACAACACTTGATGGTAGGTGCTGGAGACTTGAGTGAAGAAGACCGAGCACTCAAGGTCAAAGAGCAAGGCAACAGCGCCGTTTATACCTATGAAGAGAAGATTCGATGCAAAATCTTAATAAGTGCGGTTGGAGGTCTTGTTCAACCCAAATCTTGGCCCGAGAGCATCCCCGGAAAAGATAAATTCAAAGGAGAAATCTTTCACTCCGCTCGTTGGCGATTTGACGTCAATCTTAAGGACAAGAATGTGGTTGTTATAGGAACTGGTTGCAGTGCAGCACAATTCGTGCCCAAACTCGCGACTGAGTATGGTGTAAAGTCTGTCACTCAGCTAATGCAATCTCCACCATGGGTTCTGCCTAAAGTCATACCGCCATTGGGAGAGAAACTGTGGAATAAATGGTCACCAGCACTGAACACATACATACCTGGCTTCAACAAAGCTATGCGTTATTCATTAGGCGGAGTACTCGAATACGATTTTCGAATATTTCGATCCGGCTCTTTCGGCGAGAGGGAACGTAGAAAGGCGGAGGCTGACTGTTTAGCTTACATGAAAAGCAAAGCGCCTGAGAAGTATCACGAGATTTTGACTCCCAACTATGGAATTGGTTGTAAGAGGAGGATTTGGGATCCGGATTGGTACGCATCTCTGAATGACCCAAAAATTCATCTGACCACGCTCCCACTCAAGAGCCTTGAAGAAGACACTGTGACTTTAGGGCCTGGTCGTAACTATCCACCTGAGAATGTAGCAAGCTCAGTACCAACTAACCAAATCACCATTCCTGCTGATGTTATCGTTCTTGCAAATGGGTTCCAAACAACGAAATGGTTCCATCCTTTTAATGTCTACGGCAAGGAAGGACAAACATTACAAGACGTGTTTGAAGAACGGGGTGGTCCTCAAATGTACATGGGGACTGCTATGGATGGATTTCCAAACTTCTTCACTTTGGTTGGCCCGAATTGCTTCACTGGACATACATCTGTCATTTATACGACGGAAAGTATGGTAGCTCAAGCCCTCAACTTTGTCAAGCCTTTGCTCAATGGTGATGCTGCCAAGATAGAAGTCAAACAAGAGGCTCAAATGAAATGGACTTCCCAAATTCAGTCTGCTTTGAAGAAGATGGTCTGGGCAGATTCTCGCACCAAGAATTGGTACCTCCGTGATGATGGATGGAATTCAAATACTTACCCGTATGGCCCCTCTTCTTCTTCCTCTCGATGAACTAACCGATTACAGATACACTCAACTCGATTTTCTCTATCGCTGTTCGTTTCCAACTTGGAGACACTGGAACATTGCATATACGCGTAAAGGTCTTCTCAAGAAATGGACGAAGAGGACATTTGTTCTTCTGGCTTGGTCGGTAGCTTTTATCGATATTTACAAGAAGAGGACGTCAGGAGGTGGGTTGGGGTTGAATGAATTACTGAACAGGTGGTTCAAGAAAGGCCTTCTAGTGACAGCTTCTACGCTGACAAAATTGGCTAAGAACTTATAGTAATGGGCTGTGATCAATTCTATCATACATCGTGGAAGTTTTCATTTCGAACGCATAAGCATATGCCAAAATTGACTCTACCAAGATGAGCCTACTTAGTTGATGAATATGAGCTATATACAATTTTACTGCCACCACCTTGATTCTTATGTATTCTCATTTTTTCAACTTCGGACTGATATAATTTTTGGAACTTGAAACCGTTGTTGTGGAATAAATCTTTATTGCCTCTGATTATCCTTGAACATCCAAATTCTTTTTTCATTACTAGTTCTTCCTGCCGAACGGACTGTAAAGAAATCCTCGACGCAACGCTTTAGAAAATTAACACCTACAGAGTACTGGACGTGAATCGTCATCATCATAAAAACCTTATTTTCGATATCTGCATAGATGGCCGCTCAGTTGTTTCTCTTCGGGTCAAGCATTAATTCGGTACCTAGATATCTCGCTATGTACTCCTAATCGCCCACTTAATCATGAACTACTCAAAAAATGCCTGGGTCAAGACTTGAATCAAACTGTACAAAGCATCAGTGAATGATTCATTTGCATCGTATCATGTCACACTCTCACTTTGCATGGCCTCTACGGCTCAACGTGAAAGTCCAACATCCTGCAATGCAATACTCTACGGTTATCATACACGGAACTGCTTATTCTTAACTCTTTAAGTACTCAACAACCGACTGAGATTACTTGTCCTTCATATTCGGAACAACAACATCTTGAATGAGAAATTTATCTACATTTCAAACCATCTTCTTTACCGAACTCAGAAATATCATCGCTCGAAGATCTTTCCACACTAGTATGGAATCTTTCTTACTATCTCGAACACCAATCAACGAAACATGTCAGATATCGAACGCCTCAATGAGGCCCTACGACGCTTGGATGATCTACGAAGACGCAACCGACCCAATCACCGGCGAATTCACTATTTAAGACACACTCCTGAAGCGCGCGACGTTAACATTTCCTCGCGTGCAACCGCCGCTCCTGGAGCTAGAAGATTTTCTTTCACTAGCGCCAATGAAACGAAATGGATTCGCGAATGTCGAATAGTGCGTGAGGTTGTGTATGCTGGGACACAAACGCTACTCCGCAAAGAACTATCGGCATTACAGCGAAACCAGGCTGAGACGCTGGAACCAGGGGCCGCCACAAATGATGAGGCTACACTATTCACCGGAAACTCTCCTCAGCATCGAGAAAGTTTCGGTTCTGATACTTCCCAGGATACTCATATCAACAGTTTAGACTGGTATTTTCGCAAAGCTTTCGTCGATGCGTTGCTTCGTCCCACTCAGAAACTTTTGAAGGAAATCGACCCGTGCTTTTGCAGCGACCCATACGCAATTGAAACTGCCAATGGGGAATGCCATGAAGCTGTCAAAATGCCAAGGTGCTCGCATATCTTTGGACGCTCTTGTATTGCCGTGTGGCTTCAGAAGAAAGATACTTGTCCGATGTGTAGGCAGAAGGTTGTGATACTACCTTTGGAAGGATGAACTTGCAATTGAGCGAGTACTGACAGTAAAGCGGGTTTCACGCTTCACGTCGGTCGCTAGATGGAAAAGGAGGGACGAATAAAGAATTGGGAGTGGACCGCTTAGCGCAGGCTTGCATGAAAAATTGGGACTTTAGTGTTAAATCGTGTGGCGAGGATTGGATGCTCAAAATCATACTGAGCAGTGATTGAAGGAAGGAGGAAAAACATCTACTGGAGGTATTAGACTTGGTGAAGGTTCAGATATTACCAGGCGTAATGAACTGGGAAAACCAGATCCTTTATCTAGGATGTTATTTAGGAGACTTTAATTGTTGGCCACTAGCAGATACATATTTGGATTCAATTATTGAGAAACTCTATAGACTTTCAACACTGAACAAAGAATATGAGACTAAATCAGCGTGAAAAACGAGCGAGAAATTTCACAATTGGGAAGACCGGATACCCATGATTGTCAAGCGCTTCTTCTAATGGAGCCAGATTCACGAGTCTGAGATTCTCGCTTATTAAATATTTCTGCCTGTGGGCCCCTATTGATTGCTACATTCTGAAATAAATACTAAGGCATGATATCATTCCCCATTTCTATAAAAAAATGTTTATTGTCCGGCTTGTACGTGGTATTTCTTAGCATTTGAACTAGTGACGAAAGAATGAAGTTCGGAATGGAAGCATAATTTCTATCATTACCCGCAATACGAGTGGTACGGCGATGAAAGGTTATTCATACGCTTCAAATTTGGTGACTGAAGCTGTATGGATGATACCGCACTTCAATACACTGTATTACAAAACTGCCGTATTGGTGAGTGATGTGCTGATTTGATTCCTAGCTTCTATATTATCACTATATATATCTTTCTCTGGCTCGTCACATCCCACTTAAACAGAATTAAATCGACAGTTTGAAAGACCTCTACTTTAAGACCTTTAATTCAAAACCATCAAGAATATTTCCATAACTCGGACAGTTCACAACATAGAAGTTACCTACGAAGAACTATCATCTTGATAATAACAGAACAGCCGAAATATCAAAAATCATCTGCCAATTCAGAAGAATACTCTTCAGAGACTCGACTCACGCTAGTAATTTATTACAGAGGTTGTCGACAGACTGACGTCTATATTACATCGGTATAATAGCACCAATGAATCCTCTTAACGCAACACAAGTGGCAGGCACAGACCGTATCATCCTTATTGCAGAACCTGAAGAAGGAAACGCCGTGGTTCTTTTGGATCAAAATTTTCTTCTTGGTGACGATTTACAAATTCAATTGTCAAACACAGAAGAAATACCAGATCTTGTCTCATACTCCCCTCTCCCAGTAGACGTCGCTGATCGCCTGGGACAAGAAGCACAAGAAACACAAAACGAGTATATCGCCGTCCTTCAGAAGCAGAGAAGCCTTGAACGCATAAATATGCCTACGTCTTCGGAGAAAAAGGACAAAATCAGAGAACTCATGAAGCCAGTCAAAGGAAATACGGATGAACTAAGCCCTTGTTTCTGCAACGAACCGTACGCAGACGAAACAGCGGAGGTCGACAATAATTCGCACGAATCAGTAAAGATGCCTGATTGTACACATATTTTTGAGAAATGTTGCATCGTGCAATGGCTGGGCGATAACAGCCCCTCGACTTGCCCGATGTGTAGGAAGGTAGTCCATTTACCGAGAGATAGACTGGTAAGACGAAATGATACAGACGATCTTTACAGTATCATTGACTATCATCAATGAGACAGAAAGGCATGATGGGCAGGGTCTTGGGGAGTAATTAGTCACTGGATAGATAAATTCATGAAGTGCACATTGTATGGAATTTGAGGCCGGCAGGTAAAAGGGGGTTCCAATCATTCAATTCTAAATAATAAAAACCATGTCTACATGATACTTGATAAACTCCAATGAAAAGCTCTATCTTGCAATTATTCTACTTATGTGATTATGATATCTGAGATCTTGCAATTTGAGCCATTATAGCTATTAGAAAATGTGTCTAGCTTTCTTGGCATTATTGATGATACGGCTCGTTACCCTCTTTGAGAATTATTAGCGAGTTAAAGCAATAGTAAGCTAGTACGAAGACTTTAAAGAGTTATGGCTAAGAATCAGAACACAATCAAACTTTAGGTACGGTTATGATACATCAAGTGTAAATTATAGGTACGGCAATGCTACGTTGAAGGTAAATTTGGTGCCGTAGAAATTCCCAACTGCTACGTTGTACGAACAGTACCATGTACAGCACTTTATTGAAGGATTTAAGAACGGCTCCTGACGCTAGCACACTAGTACTGGCCACCATAGACCTTCATTTCATATATAGGGAACAGAAACTTCCTCCCAAAAACATCCATTCTCTTTCCCTATCTTTCTTCTACAGATCAACATCTACAATAACATCTTGACCACCTCCATTTATCTGGCCTGGACTTATTCAAGAATCTTTCAATCTTTAGAAACCTTCACAACATTTCCACTTTAACTTTTTCACTTAATCAACTTTTACAACCAACTCGTTCATTATGACTAAATTCTCAAATTTCTTTCGCGATGTCGGCGGATCCATCACTGGCGCTTTCTACCACAAGGGCGCCAAACACAGTGGCAAGACTAGCCAAATTCCTCGCCCAGACACTCCTCCCAACTATGAGGATCTTTTCGGACAACCAACACAGCTTCCAGAAGGCTTGGACGAAGCTGCAGAGCATGAAGCCTTCTTGATGCGAATGGCTCGCGATCCATCAATCCTCGAACATAGTTCAGAATCGGAGGAAGATTTTCCACAAGACACATTGTTGGACCGAATGGCACACAATCCATCAACCCGAGAGCGCCGTGTACGCCCGAATAATATCACAAGCCATATCCCTATTGTTTCTCGCCTCTTCTCAATGTCACCACAAGTAACTATTCCTGTTTCCCGAGTTGAGGTAGAGCCGCGCCAAACCACTCCTTCGCCATTTGATCATAGTGACAACTTGGTCATTCCAGAGCGTCCAAAAATTGACCATAGTGACAACTTGGTCGTTCCAGAGCCAGAAGTCGATCCTGCTGAGCCATTTTTACATCTTGTCGAGGAAGCTATCGCAGCTTCATCTCCCCAAGCCAGAGAAGTTACTCCTGAGCAAGAAGCCATTCGTCAGGATGACACAATTGCCGCCAATTCTGGCCATCAATCAAGAGGCCATACTCATCGCTCATCCCAGGGTCGCTGTATGAGCTCGCATGACACCGAAGATGCTCAATTACCACCAAGAGTAGTCAGCAGCCCAGAGCCACGCGCCTCGGTATCCAGAATTCCAATTGCTGCTAGATCTAGTTCATTGCAAGATAGATCTACTGTTTCTGCACAACCAAGCTCACGACCAGAGTCTTCTGACCCACGCCGAGCTAGAGGTCAATCAGCTGGTCGTGGACATGGCGAGCCATCTCAGGGACAGCCAAGAGCTGTAAGTGCTCCCCAGCCAGGCGCACAATCATCTTCTCCAGTTGCTGTTAGACAAAATTCAACACAACCAAGAGGTGTCCATAATCATCGAGACATCATTCAACGCCATGCACGTGTATCAGCTCATCATACTAGCTTGGTAGGATCCACAGACAATACAGCACAACAATTGCCAATGCTTAGACAGCGACCATATCCCGTTGTTGCTCAAGATGAGTCAGATGAACTGACGGGAGAACCAAATCCTGTTGAAATCCAAGATTTCCTCGCTCGTGATCGATCAGCCTCACAAACTAGCCATTCCAATTCTCAGAGGGCTTTATCCTCAGGAGATCTTACTGCTCTGAGATCGCAACATGCATCCCATCGGGATACTGCATCCGGTACTCAAGTTGCGCATCAGCGAAGCGCACGCAGCAATGATGTCGCTCGCAGAACTGAAGCCGGCAACAGTCGGTCTAATAGACGCCAAGATGCTCATGACCAAGTTGCTGAACGATCATCCAATAATCACCATCTTGAAAATAGCGATCTCAATGGATCCAATGCTAGATCAGGAAATGAAGCTGCTAGTTCTGACAGTTCTGGAAGTTCAATTGTCGGAATGGATGCCCACACTAGAGAGACTACTCCAAAAATCTCTAGGCCTAGTTCTTCTGAAACTACTAGACCTACACCTGAGCAATGCGATCCCGTTCACCCAGGAATCACTTCTCCCTTGTTAATCGCAGAACTTCACCACGGTCGAGCCAACGGCGCAAGTAGGCCACCAGTCATTGGCCCATATCTTGCTGAGCGGCTTGACGCCGCACGAGCTGCACGTGGTTTACCTAGATCGCCACGCATGTGGGATATCCCAACACCCAATGATGAAATCAACAATCCTGTTCATCCGGCCGATTTCCGCGGAAGTGGTTACCAGCCAACTAATAGAGACCCAGTCTCAAACTCAGAGCGTCCACCTACTCGATCGAACAGCGCAGTTCATGGTGGCCACAGGCAACGCCGTGCGGGACATCAAGGCACTATTGATAGTATGCACAGTCGAGAGTTGGCACTTGACCGAGAGCTCCAGGAGATCCGTGAGCAGGAGAGACAGAGAGCAATCCGAGAGGTAGAGGAGAGACGTCGAGAGAACAGAGAGAGACGAAACAGAGAGCGTGAGAGAAGAGCCAGAGAGAAGAGAGATCGCGAGCAGAAAGAAAGAGATGATTTGAAGAAAAAGAGATCAGATGCCGTCGACGGTATCCTTCAACCAATCCACATCGATCGTTGTTTCTGTCTTGAGAAATTCGGAGATGGTGGCTCGCCTCATGAGCGTGTCAAGTTGGCGCACTGTACTCACATTTTTGGCAGAAGCTGCATCAAAGAGTGGTTGATGATGAGTGATACCTGTCCACAGTGTGTGGCTGCGCACTCCACTCTGAGTGATTTGTCGCGACAGGCACAAGAATTGATCCTCCGTCATGAGGAATGGTAAAGTTTGCGGGAGGATCATTCGACGGACGCTATGTGGGCGGGGTTGATAGTGAGTGGTTTAGACAGATGTTTTTGATAGGAGAGAATCAAAACTCTGGGAAGGTAGCTTGTGATGGCTTTTCACGAATGGGTTTCTATTGAGTTAGCGCTTGCTAGAAACCTGAAGCTACCATTTTATTCCCAGTGGGGAATTGTGATGGGGAGGGGATTGAACCATAATTAAGCATATGGGAATAAGATCAGCGAATATCTTATTTGATATATGGACATTGTTTCTGGATCATGGAGGTGAAAATCGGTATGGATGTTGACACTGATTCTGACAGCACATCATGGCTTCACTGGGCCTCCGACAGTTTCTTGCACTACATTCATCTTAACTTATTAATATAATTTACAAATACACTTTAAAGAAAAATAACTTCTGTATATGTGAATCAGACACAGCGACTTCTTGAAATTACAAAGCTGCTCTAGAAAAAGTTAGGTACGTGTGAACTTGTGAATAGTAACTGCTTCCCCACCTTGTCAAACTAATAAACAAAGTGAATACTTCTTATGAGAAGAGATTGCATTATGAAGAATATACAGAGTAAAACAATTCCCTAGTAGGGAAACTCAAAGCACAAGTACATAGTAAAAAACAATGTTGAGCAGATCAACTGATGTGAGTTTGTGCAATAAAGATTAGGATTAGCAAAGCAGCAGTTAGATTGGGAATCAAAGAAATCACTTTTCATTCTTATAGTAGGCATACAATGAATTTTGGGTATAAATAGCTCACAGTTGTTGAGAATAATGGAATGTGATTATTGAATGCATTTTATAAGTACATAGAAGGACTCATCATTCGAAACTGGGTGACTGACATCTTTCATATACCTATGCTCTTTGTGAAGTCAAGATGGAGGCTGCCAGAAACTGGTCTGGTCATACATCCTTATTTTCCCCATAGTAGCTACTAAATATACCGTGGTTTCAGTATTACTTTAGTATCTTGTAATCGTAAAGTGAGCTACAACATTCTATGCCTACCTAGACAGTTGCCCTTTTAGTGGAATTCTCCAGAGATTATTTCTCAAAGAGTTAAGTTTACTACTAAGTATGGTATGTTTCGAAATTCCTTGGATGAAAGAAGCCTAGTTAAGTCCTCAGATTCATAAGTGATATCCTCAATTTTTGTGCAAACACTTATGTGATTATTTCAAGCTTTGAGCAGTAACTTCATCCTCATACATAGATATCTAGGTTAACCTTGGAATATCTAAACTTTGTAAGATATAATATTTCGTCTATAACACTCATTATTATGCAAAATATCACTGGAAATTTAAAATTCCTTAATGGGCTATATTCAATTTTTTTGATCACTGATCTCCTAGGCCCCTTGAGTATTCACTTTCATCTATTTGTTTTATCAGCAACCAATATAAACTCTTGCCATACGTGTTTCGAACATAAAAGTTATCTAATACACAGCGTCAAGCTTTGGCAGACTGCTGTACTAAAAGTCGCTTGTTGTATACCGAATTCTTTTTGCAATATTTAAGGATCGTTACCTTCATCCTTCTTGCAATTATCTTTCATCATAACATTGACTCTGACTTCAAGTATCTCAGCCATCTGAATGAACATTTCAGACTTTCCTGTAAGCTCAACGACTATTCGAGATACATTAAATCCACAATAACACCAGAAAACTAAGCTTTTCCCACTCTTTAACTTTCATCACTCCACACACGAAAAATCCCATCATCATGTCTTCTGGGCAAAGCAACAATTCGGCCGCTGCGGAGATAGAAAGCTCTGGGCAACAAAACACTTCTGGAAATGCTGAATCACTCGCTCTACAGGAGAATATTATGCAAGACGAAGCTTCAGCAGGTACTAGTTCTCATGACAATCCTGAAGATACCGAGAGTAGTGACTCTGACGACAACGAAGAGCTTTCGGGTGGCCTTACCAATGACGGACGATCAGGTACTTCTTTACAGACTGTTGTGCCACAAGATGCTGCTGTCGAGGACATGTAGTCTATTCATGCTGAGATCGGGGCCCGATTTAATCAGTATATTCAAACCAGGTTCCCAGAAGGCCTCATGGATACTCGGCGTGTAGTGGAAGCTCTCGTATTCTACACACAAGAGTTGAACAACCGTAATGGCAGCGGCGCCAATCCAGCTTCGACAATTGAGATTCACAACGAAATCCCGGTTCAAACGATACCTCTAGAAACAATGAATTCTTTCCACGAGTTCTATGCGAGCATTAGACCACACCAGTCGCAAGCAGATATCAACGGTTTCTATGCGAGAATTAGACCAAACCAGTCTCACGCAGATATCGAAGAGATCCACAGAAACCAGGCCATTGACGAGCTTTTGACTCCAGTCCTGATCGATGAAACGCAAGCAGAATCGGTACTATGCCCAATATGCAATGAAAAGTACGACTCAAGTGCAGAAAACGGTGCTTCTCATGGCGCTTGTATGGTGCCAGACTGTAAGCATGTTTTCGGACGGCAATGTATCAACAGATGGCTTAAGGAAGAGAAAAAGAACACTTGTCCGATGTGCCGCGCTGCAATCGAAATTTCCACTGGCTCTTCAGATGATGACGATGATTGATTAGACTTAATGCCTCAGAGTTGGAGGATGAGAAGAAGCAATTTGGGAAGGATAATTGAGGATGATAGCCATCTCAAAAAGTTGACAAGCATTCGGATCTTAGTGCTCAGTTGCATCATTCTGGTGAGACGGAAGCGAATTCTCTTCTTTTCGCATGCATAATTGAGGGGCTGGGCGAAGGCCTTTCAAAATAGTTAGATAGAACAAATACTACATATTTTTTTTAGAAAGCCATGAGACACTCAATTTTCAAACTAATCTGACTTGGCGAAATGCAATTTGAGCCGTCGATCCGGAGATTGACTTCCTTCACTACTCTGACTGCTTCTTGAACTAAACTAAGGCTGGCTACTTTAAATTTCAATTCTTTGACAGCGGACCTAGAATTTGATGTCACAACCTCGCATTATGTACTTAGAAGGAGTATGAGACTTCGTCACACCAGACGTACAGTATAATTATCCCCCCATTTGAACCTCTTTCCGTAGTTTTTATAGGCCTATTCTTAGCTCTTCGGATTTTGGCGTTCAAGATTAATGTATGTATCACTGTCGCCAGAAATTGAAGACATGATTTATGAGTCAATCGATAATCTCAATGTAGCGGGGGAAGGAAACGTGAGGGGGAAATTGAATAGAAAAAGAAAGAACCCCCAAAGCTTATCTTGACTTCCTTCCATGTTGAAACTTATAAAATGAATGAAATGAAACTTTATTTAATCGAAACTATCTAGCTTATCCTCTAAAATCTCGAATTGAAAAATTCGAAAAGGACCAAATATCACCAGTAGTCCATGTAGTAGTCTCTTGGCGCTTGTGATCTTCCACACTGTGATACGCCTAGAGAGCATTTTCAAGGGACTATCGCATCATCACAGAATTTAATAAGATAATTTGAGTATAGCCAAAATTTATGGTAGAGTAAGCATAGTATTTTGTATTATTTCGTGACATTACACAGAATACCGAAACCAAAGCAGCTTCCTGATCTCGTTCACGACCCAATCGATAAACTTAGTGTCCGTCGTTGAACCAATAAATCGAAGAGACTAGATCCTCGTCAAGCTAAACTTTAGATAGCATGTATATTACTAGCGCTTAAGTCATTAGTTTGAGCCACGCTAATGATTTTTGAACATAAAAAGGTAAAGTACATGCTACAAAACTCTCACACAAACCATCTCTTAAATAAGTTGGACAAAAATTAACACAGATCAAAGAACCTCAAAGTCTATTCATTAATACTTCTCATATTCAAAATTACAGAAAGAACTCCCCAAGAACGCACTCGACCCAATCCCGAGTATCATTTACAAACACACAACAATTATGGCAGATAATCCCTCCCCGGAAACTCAGACGCGTTCGGACGCCCAGCAAGACGTATTTGATCACCACTCTGCTTTGGCTGATAGCCGCATACAATCACAACAAATGGATGATATTACACAGCATTTAATACATGGTGTCGATGGCGTAACTCGAAGACCGACGCTAGGATGGTTTAGAACACGTCAAGAAGCACGACAATCATCTGAAAGCCACGAGGAAGTGGTGGGTTCTCAAGTCGAGGGTGGAGAAACACGACAGTCATCTGAAAATTACGCGGAGACAGCAGTGAATTCTCAAGCCGAGGGCGGAGAAGCTCGATCCCTGGAGTTGGAGGACCAACCCAATCCTTCGCCCTCGATCTTCGAAGACGACACGATGGTGAAACTTAATTGTTATGAGGATTACCGACTTGAAATTATTGAAGATCGACTTCTTCCAGTGTCTGACTGCGAATCAGACCACTGTCCTATTTGCCGGGAAAAATACAATACAAAATTAGATGCTCCTATTGTGGTCAAGGACAAACGCTATTGCACTGATTGCCAAAGATCGTTTAATATGAAGCCTGATACCATCAACTCTCACAAGGCTTGTGCAATGCGAAACTGCTCGCACGTATTTGGCAGATACTGCATTATTCAGTGGTTGAAGAGCAACTCTACCTGCCCTCTGTACCGGAATGCGGGAGATCTCTGACAGAAATTTCGTCCATGGAGGTTTCCGAACGGGTCGGAATGTGAGCCACAGCGGGGGTTTCCGTGACCAAAATGGGTCAGTGAGGTTTTCGGGCATTTTCAATTGTTCAGTATCGTGCGTATGCACAATAGAAGATTGAATCAGCGTTTGGTTGGTGCATTTGGTAATGTCGTTTTAGCGATCAAGCGGGATGTTATCCAGGTGTAATTAAAATGCGTAGAGAATTGGAAAAATCGAAATAAAAAATAAAAAATTCAAATATGGAGAAATTAACAATTACCACAAACTAATCTCATGCCCCTCAGATTCTGTATGAAAACCGTAAGTTCTAATCATTATAGACCATAATCTAAGTTTCAAAAAAGAGAAACAAAGAAATACACATGGTGATCGATTTCACCCTGAAATCTCTTTTCTTGATAGAGAACCTGTCTCGATAGAATCTGGCCCTCCACTACATGATATAAAACCCATTGTTTGACTTTATGATGTAGCCTTTCATTATAAAATCTAGTCTGGCAACCTAGATGCGCAACATAGAATCTCGCCTAATTTAGTTGAGACTTAAATGGGTCACAAGCTGTCATCAGAACACGCTACGACAGCAACTAGTAATTTGAGATATAGGGCTGAACGAATTAATAGTAGTCTGAATTGTAAGGACACACAGATCTATAGTATACGTGACTGAGTATAGTTAGCTTCTTTAGCCTACTTGATCGGATAAGTTCGAAGCTAAGCTTCGAACTTCCTCTCAGAACCATCAATAACTACAATTGCTCCTGCTACACTCGCTTCAACGGCCGTACTTCACATTAGTCATTAAAATTGGAACTCTCTGGCTCTTAGTATGCCTGACGAATACTCTAATTCCATTAGAGATAGAGCCCATATGATGCATATATATATATATTTCTCATCCCCCATAATCCAACCCGGTCTCGCCGTGTGTAATCCAAGAAACAAGTACACGAAAGCGATAGATTTTTCACTTGATACACTCACCACTTTTCGATTTCCACTGATTCAAGGTGGAAGATTATTTGACCTTTCTTTGTACCAAAGTAAACAGTAGAATTCATATTTTGTTCCCCGAGGTGATTGCATAGCATGATGGGCCGTATTTGCGCTTACTATTTCCTGCGTTGAGCAGACCGTATCGTTGATGATAGTGAAACGGTATGAACATAGTCGCCAGCTTATAAAAAAGTCTTGTTACTGTGTTTGCCTCGTTTCCTATTCGTCTATCAACAACAAGTAACGTGTTCCAACCACCTCACAACGCTTCCTAGACATCGGATCTTAAAACGCCATAGAGCAGATCACCTACTGCCAGCCTACAAGAAAGATATAACGAATATCATTTCCATCCTTCTACAAACCGGAAGCACCATGCCTCCTCGAAGACTTGATATACGCCCGCACCGCATCCCACCACGCGATTTCCGAATTTCTGAGAATACCACAAGACCGCAGACACCAACTAACACGACAATACCGTATACACCAATGACACCATTGATTCCGACCTCCACAATGATATCAACTATGGTTGCGACTCGTGGAGTCACAATCGAAGTTATTTCGCTTAATGGCGATATGAGCCGTACCAATCCAGAGTTCGAGAACATTGCAAGAGCGGCCGTTGACATCGCATGTAGCGACGATCCGAGGATATCTTATGGTGAACTTGAGATTGAAGAGGATTTGGAAGAAGAAAATCTATTCAATGCAGCTCTATACTGTCATGATGGGAGCATGAGATCCCTGAGTGTGAAAATCTTATTCGATTACACTTACCGAATCAAGACTATCAATGAAACACTCGAGTCGGTGGATGTTGAAACTATTGAATGGAATAACTGTACCATTTGTATTGAGTCATATACCACGGCTGCCACTCTAAGCGAGCCCGACACAGTGGCAATTACTCCAGAAGAGCCTAGTACTTCTGACATAACAAACGGTTTCGAAGATTCGATGGATGCTTCAAACGAATCTGAAGATTCTATCATTGTTTCAAATGAGCCACATCACACTGCAGTAAAAATAAAGACATGTGAGCATGTCTTCGGTAGGCATTGTATTGCACAATGGTTGAAGGAGAATAACACATGCCCAATGTGTCGTCGGAAAGTGTTACTACCTACGCCATTTCATCTACAGATGTGGGTATATTAGAGTCCAAGAATGGCGAGCATACGGAATCATAGGCCAGGGACGGATAAGGATGGATATTGATACTTCATATGGCCCATTAACAGAGGTTGAAGGGCCTCAATATCAGGATGATTAGTTGAGGGCCAGGAATGATTGCGCTATCATCTTGGGTATTAGTTAGGAATACTTTCAGCCCTTTTTGGACTTCTGCCTATGAAGCTACTTTAAATAATAGAGCTCAGTCAGTTGAATTCGAGCTGTAATGTAGACGAAAGATGGTTTCCAACATATCAACAAACTTAAAGTAAATTTTTGAGAACATCGAACAGTGGAATACTATCTCAGATACATAAGTTAAAAAGGCAGCTTCTACAAATGATCTATGAGCATAAGCGAGCAAATGCATTTGCGAATAGTCATGCAATTGAATATTTAGATGAATATCAAAATTGTGAATGTAAACCTTTGATCAATTTCTTCATCAACATTTGATTGCTCTGAGAACTTACTATAAAGAAAGCTTCAGATTGAATGCAAGTAATTTTCTACCGGTAGATTTCGATGTATTCTACTGATTCGATACTAACCTTGACTCGAAGTCTGTAATAGACTGCGCAAAGATGCTATATACCTACAGATGATCTATAGATAATTTGCTTTACAAGTAGTAAATTAAAGGTCCTCCACACTTTAGAGATCACCGATAAAACCCGTAATCTATTTCACAGTACAAAATTTATGTAAATCTAATATCAAGTCAGGCCGATAACCCACGGATTATCTGCGGAGTCAATTATCTACTCTGCACGTAATCGTTGAATAGTCTACCTAGTCTGTATATAAAATGAAAATGGGTTTCAATGTTTGACTCACTCTTACGGTGATTTCATCGTCGCTTCTCAGGCGAGTGAATCGATGTAATTAACGAGAGTGATAATTAATAGTGAAATTAAATGACAACGTGAAAGACCGTAAAGGAAACTCGTTTTGTACCGTATCAGCCGTAACATTCCCAATACAATGTTCTAGCGACAGTAATAAGATTTTGTCCAAATGTGCCAAAATAATGCCGTACGAATGATATATCTAGCTTATAAGGATTATTTGTGCCAGTCGATAAGAATTTCCATCTTTCCATAGAACCATTACAATAACTTCCATCATCCAATAAGTTCAAGAAGTCGACGGATAACAAATTTCAGAACAGTAACCAGCCGACCTCATCAATTCTCAAAACAATCCGAGTTTGTATCAAAGTCTATCTAACATGTCTTTAATGGAAACTATACTTTCACGATTCCGCAACATTCGCTCTTCGTCGTCGCCCAGAAACACCTTCTCACAAGACATATTCAATGATCTTAACCTTACAAGACCACGTAGACACTTGGATTGGATCGATCTACCCGCTCAATACGAAGAGTCTGGTGTGACACTCGACATTGTGTCTACTGGGGATTTATCGTTTTCGGGAGAAGATTTCGACAGTCTCGAGGATATAGAAGTTATTGAACCAGAGTCTGTCCCATTACTTTCAATCGAAGAACTTCGTAGGAACCCCAATTTGAATGGGCAGAAGCGTCATGCTCTTCTAGGCAGTGAGAATGGCACAATGAAATTCATTGTGGTTGAGATTAGGAAGTGTTACCGCGATCGAACTAGAGCTATCAAGGATATTCTGCCCCCGATCAATCCTGCGACATTAGACTTTGACCAATGCGGTATCTGTATTGAGCCATACGCTGAGGCTACTATTCCCTTTGAACCTAATCATGAGCCTTCAAAGATGCCAAAATGTGGACATGTATTTGGTAGGGATTGTATCGTTGAATGGTTGAAAAATCACGATACATGCCCCTTGTGTCGGGATGAATTGTCCCTTCCAGTTGCATATAGGTTACGTGTAAAGATCGATGAGAATTAGGAACAAGCTGGAACCAGCGCTTGATATTTCTGACGCCCATATATCGAGGAAGATATGAGCAGCTTTTGAGTTCTCATGCATCTAAGTGCAGAGATCAAAGGGCTTAGGTTGATGGAGACACACAATATTTGAACTATCAGGTAGAAACAGCTGCAGACATTTGTAGTCCTTTTGCAGATTAGTTTTAGGAGCCAGAGTAAAGCACGGGGCATCTCCATCCGTTGCAACACTTCAAGAAGGCGATCTCAATTGTAGTATGAGAACACCAATTTAGGACGAACCCTAGTCATTCATTATACGCAAAGAACCCTGCATTATAATCCTGACATACATTTGTGATCTTACTCTGACTAAAATGTGAAAGCGAGCTCTTGAACTCTTCGAAATCGCTATGTGAAAATAATAAATCGCTATGTGACCGTAAATTAGATGTCAGGAGAGCTAGACCCCCTGGGTATGAGGAATATCTGGAAATTTACTGGAGTATCTGACGTTCAACTATAATACAACCAGGAAAAATATGAGAATCAAACTAGAAGCGCAAGTTATATCAAAAATATGTATTGTGCTATGAATTCAAAGCCCAGTGTGCCACTCCAAGCCTAGATCCTTCGATCCGACTCAAACAGCATGAAATTCTGACCTACATGAATATCCTACAAAATACAATTACCCGCTTGCATGAGCTGTTTCATGTCCATATTCATGAATACAGAATGTCCGGACTTGCATGCTACCATCACACGGTGCCGTATAGAAGTTGTTTGTTGTCTACAAATTAGTACTGACTGTATGAATGTATCTTGTCGTTAATCTCCATTTTTTGCAGCCCGGCACCAAACTCATAGGAAAAGCCGTATTGTACTTTCTTGTATCATCTATTAGTAAAGGGTCATCTCTGGAGCTTAATTATCTCCAAGGAACAACAAAATTCGCACAAAATTAGAGCAAGGCTTTGTCGATAACATCTCCATCAAACCTTTCATTAAACTACCAAAGAATACCTATCAATATGCCTTTACTAGACCGTCTTCGAAATAGTCTCAAAGATAGGATCAAGCGTAGGCCTCAAGGCCTCCATGAATGCAACTTCTTTGAAGATGGGAAGCATTCCACACAAGGAGTTCAAGAAAGAATTCCCACTTCTTGCGAAAACTCCAGGTTGTTCGAGAAACATACATTCGGGTATCTTAGCCCTTGTCGATATGGAACATTAGACAATGTCAACGACGACGTTGACGATGATGTCGATAGCAAAGAGAGCTGTTTTACCGACTTCTCATCAGAGAACTCTATAGTCCGCTTTGTTTCCAATGTTTTTGCTCCTGGTTGTGGAACCGCTTTGTCTCCTCGTCTGCAATCTCGGAGTCATCATATTCAACAGCAAACCACTCTTAGCGATCAGCGTATGAGCGACTCTCAGCAAAATAATGACAACGTCCATTTAGATAAAGACAGCCATAACTTGGCAGAAGACCTGGAAGTTTTTGGTTCACCCCTAAAGAGAGTTAAAGCTGGAAGCTCTCATCCAAGCTCGGGCTGGGGAATGCAGGATCAGATTGATTCTCAGATGAGGGAAGATGTTGAAAGATTAATTCCTAGCTCTAGATCAGGGAGTTTACAATCCGAGAATATTTTAGGTACCAAAAAATCTACTAGAGCGTATAACCCATAGCCGCTCTTTAAATTACAAAAATCTCAGTTGCCACACGGACGACAAAAACCTTGAGCGTATGATGATACCAAAACGTCTGTATCTTCCATCCGAAAATCCTCATCGTCGGGTCGGTGTCTACGACGGCGTATTCTTCAATCATGTTTCTAATATTCTCACATTTGAAGAAGACATTTGGGATAGCTCAATTAGGGAAATTGGGTGAATAGGTGTCTCCAAGAGACCCTCGAACGTTAAGGTTGGATTAAGCGAGCATTCATGCCAACAGCCGCGCCACGGAGAGCGCATTAGGATTCCTGTGCCAAAAACATATTATTTGGGAGAAAATTGCATCAATGATCTGCCTATATGCTGGAATATTGATGAGATAGGGTCTGTTCAAATAACATGATGACGTCACGCTTAGGACAAAAAGGCAGGGATTTGGGTAGCTGGTTCAGAGGAGAAATGTTGGAGCAGACTGGATGCAAAATGTATCGTAAAATAAACTACTATTAATATTGACCAATTAAGCTTTCGTGATGTTAAATCTAGCAAGATCAGGCTACTAAAGTGAATTGCACACCATTATCTTATCCAATGCATCAAGAATGGTTTATCGTACATAGGAAGGCAACATAGTTGCTGTTCGTAATCCTTAATTATGCATCACATAGGCAAGTAATCACTGATGTATCCATGAGAGACCTTAGTGCTTGGAAGCTTTGATATGGATCTAGTAGTATTGCTCGAGTGTAATCTCGAATTTGATCTGTCACTATTCTCCCAAAGCATAAGAATACTTTGAATTACTTTTTCCATGCATATCGCTAGGGTCATTTAATTGAAATGAATATTTTGGATACCCTGCACTTCAATTTAACGTATTTTCATAATATGCTTCATCGCGCTCAAGTCCTTCATTCTGGTGCAGCGTCAGAGCCATTCCGAGACTAAAAACCTGAGATTTATCAATAATGTTTAAACGAGACCCTGTAGGGTTTCCTAACCCACGTCAACCGTAGCCAGATTGAAATAAGAAGAATTGCACCCGTAAAGACAATCTGACATACAATAGGACTGTGAGGTATTCCACGATTAATAATGGGGTTCGCGTGACCCGTAGAAGCTCAATTTCCACCGGTGTGCTTGAAAATGCTTGAAATCAAAACCGTAAAGTTCAAATTAGACGAGAAACAATTTCAGATATTGGTGGCCGTAGATGTAAAAATCAAGTTACGGTCAATACAAAATAGAAAATCTATGATCGCACGAGGACTTGAAATAGCTGATCACTGAATCTTAGAGAGCAGTGAATTGCTTGATACTTGATGAGAATCATTGCGCACATTTATACTCTCGTTGCATGGATCTCCTCAAAGTCTATCCCACGGACTCGGATTGCAAGTCACGTTATTCAGATCCGCCTGGATAGACCTTTCCTAATATACGCAAATGAACGACCGATATGATAAGCAGGATTGGAACGTAGATATTTTCTGTAATCTACTGATCTTCAAACAATTAATGTGTAAATACTTCACCCGATCACTAAAGTTTAGCAGCGAGGTACGGTTCAGCCGTATTGAACCCGTACTGAACCACAAATCAATCATCCTATCTTAAGCGATGCAGAGAACCACACCACTCACTATTTACCTAGGTACTTAAGCAATCACCTTTGCAACACTCTCAACTTCCATCTTCCTTCTTCCAATCACAATAAACTCCTCCTACAAAGTTGCCTCAAAGTCAAGGTCAAGAAACTTTAAGTTTTGATATTCGAATTATAACCACAACTCCAAACATATCAAATCTCCCACCACAAGAACCTCAACCTTCGTTCCTACAACAATAAACTTCCAAAAAAGCAAGGCCAGTTCTCTACAAAACTCTTAATCATGCCGCGAATGCTTGATTTGCCGGTTTATTACACTGACGTTCAGTGGCGCGCATTAAAATCTAGTACGTTTAAAATACTTCAATCACTAATCCTCCATCTCAACTCCACAAGGCCCAGTAAAGCAATTCAACTAACGTGAAATCAGAAGCCAGAAACAACCATCCATCTATTACACCTAGGAATGCCGAGATCATCATGGAGACTATTAGAGTCTACGATGCTATTTGTATGTTGTCCTGTCAGTCCTTTTGTCGCATATCTGTTGCAACCTCTGTTTTTTGCGGGCAGAAAAAATTGCCAGCCAAAACTAATTCTTGTGTCAAATTCTAGTGAAAGATCAGAATCCGACACCTCTGCCTCAATTTGCGGATTCTATCACATATGACAAGAGACAAGTCAATAAGTTTGTACTTTACAACAGACGTACGTATTTCCTTTCTTTTACTACAGCACTCCCCCCACGACCTAGCATTCTTTCTTACCCTGCTGTTTCAATCAGTCAGAATATCCAATAGTTTGGATTGGCAGACTGAATACGATTCTCAGTATTTGGAAAGAGCACACAATCCAAGATGAATGCAATATCTCAAACTTTTAACCATAATATTGGATTGAGAAGATTTTCATGATTGGACTGTAATAAAAACTATCAGCGGTCCTGCCTCTACCCTGGATTAATCTAGCACTTCTTTTATCGTCTCTTGTTAACTCACTAATAGACACAAAACACGATCACATCACCGTCATGAGCCCTTGCTACCTTCCCAAGCGTCGCCCCGAAGCTCGCGTTGGCAAAGTTCCGAAGCAGGTTGACACGACTATCAAACCAACAAGAGATCCTAGAGGATCCACATTTGGCTTCATTAGAGGGGCCGAAGTTGCTGTAGTCGAAGAGGAAAAAGAAGTAGGAGAATCGATTGTGGTGGAAGATAAGACCGAGGGTGGGAAAAAGGTTTCGATCAAGAAGAGCGGCCCGGCTGGGAGGAAAACTCTTGCTGAAAAGAAGAGAAGTTCACGTTTGAAGGCAAAAGTGGTCGCCAGCGACGATTTCGTTAGGAGAAGCTCGAGGAGAATTGGTGGTGCTGCAACTGTGAGTGCTGATATTGATATGGATGCGGGGACCCCTGAACCGCAGATTATGACTCGGGAAATGAGCAAGCTTGCTGATTGTAGCTCTCCCGGGTCAAAGGAAGGGTTTTCTGAGCGCGATGAGTTGGTCAGCGACTTCAATGTTACATACGGTCCTCCCATCTCGTACAAATCGCCATACAGCCATCCTAAACTCGTCTACCAATCTCCATATGCACCTATCCCAGACGCCTACGAAAACGTCGCAAGCCGCGAAACTACCATATCAGCTCCACCCACCATCATCCCAGATGTCGAAGACCAGTTCCCTCGAATCAACCGATCAGCTCCACTCACAATTACTCCAGACGCCGGCAACCACTCTCCAAGTCGGAATACCACTATCTCATATCCACCTGTAGTTATTCCAGACATCAACGACCAATTCCCTAGTCGCCAAACCACCGCATCAGCTCCAGGCTCCGTCATTTCAGATGCCGAAGACCAGTTACCAAGTGGCGATACCACCATCTCGTATATATCTCAATAATGCTAGTTCTATGATTCTAGAATCGTGAGGGAAGATGAGTTCTAGGTAATTTAGATAGTTGAACTGCAGAGAAACGATCAGTGAGTTTTAGGCTGGAACATCATTCACTTTATGTAGTCACTGAATCTGGGGTGCGTTAGATATCATGAAAAAGCTTATGTCAAGGCTCAGGAGGAGAATATGCGGACTATTATTAGATAGCTAAGCATCAATAAGCAAAATGTGATATTAATATTAATCGTTAAACTCCTTATTTGAGTTCAAGACCTCAAAAATGAACTGCCTCCCTACTATGTTGATTCCTGTAACTTTTGATTCGCGTATCAATTTTCATTTTACCTCTCTTGACCTCTTGAGCAAATAAACAGCATCACCTCACACCTCAACAATCTCGATTAATCCCAGAGCAAAGGCGAAAAGCACCTAGTAAGTGAGTCAATGCAAGACAAACATCGTCTTCAACTTTCCTACCAACATCTCTAAATTGCTGTCAGAAACCCGGAAAGATTCACACTGGTACATGTACTTATTTTACAGCATCCGCAGAGATATCTAGCGACAACAAAACTATTCTGAGAACTTACGCCTTCATCAAGGAATCAACAGCGAGAAAAGATGATTCAACAATAAACAATTCAAACCCCCGTACGCAATGAACATCCCTAGGTTGGACTTTGCCACGCAATACAGTAGAAGTGTGCAAGTAAACGAGCAAACAATTTCACAAACCCATGAGCAATGGTCGTGCATGCTATGCTTTTATTTCTAAAGTTCAAGTATAGCAGCAGAGCGAGAAATTTATCTTTACATTTATACCAAAGCATTCTACCTCTCCATCAAGCAGTAAATATCCGCATGTCACACGAATCAAGTACCCGACTACCTACAAGCAAATCCCACATATCCCTACTCTATATATTCCACCCACCCCCCATCAAGTATCCCACACAGACTGAATATCACACCATAAACATAATCTAGCAGGTGTATGGAGCATATACTATGTAGATACATACTGCACCAAACAACCACCAGCCAAACAACCATCAATCAAACTAGCTTCCTTCTCAGACACATATCTCGATATCTTTCTCTATCGTCGAGACGTCGTCAAATCTAGCAATAACAGAACGATACGAAACTTCAATATGATAGTGAGAGATATGCCAAAGTGATGAGAAGACACCCAACGGTTAAAGATATGACGAAAAGGGGGCACAGGGACAGCGAGAAGGAAAGTCAAGCGAGCAATATTACCGTAGAGATCTAATGAATTCTCTTTGAATAGTCTGGATAAGATACATCAAATGCAAGAGTAAATGAGATAACCATTAGACTAGCCCCTTTCGAAGGTAAATTTGACTTTCGAAGCCCTTCAGGATTTTGAAAGCAATGTGTCGCATATTTATACAACGAGAGCTCAATATTGACCTGTTCGTTATTGAGCGGTATATCACCAAGCCAAACTCGGCATCACATCGAGATCATTCGTGTATAATGTAAATAGGTGTACATATTGTTTTCATGCGCTTGGATATCTAAGTCATATAATATTTTGGTCCACCTGAACCTTCCGGAACACTCCAATTGATATCCTGATCCGGCACCTTAATATCACATGTTTTACAATGAATGCAACTGAGGGAGATTAGTATTAAGACAGCATGTTAAGATGAGAAACTTACTTTTGCGCATTGATTTGAAACCTCACTCCAATATCCTTTGTTGAATCTTCAACATACTCATACACGCCAGCCGGGCAGAATCTATTTTCAATACCCTTGTATTTTGGGTACTCCATTTCCGCATGCTTATCCCAATCCTTGACCTGCAAATGAACTGGTTGATCTTCCTCGTGATTTGTACCGGTACGACTAACACTTGTCAAGATATCAAATGAGATTTTACCATCGGGTTTCTCATATTCAATCTTTGTACACTGGTCGGCAAGCTTGGTAGCTGCAGCATCAGTGGATTTATGCTTCAATGTCCAGGGAACTTTACCCTTGAGAACATATGCTTCGAGTCCGGAGTACATAATACCACCATATAGCTTTAGTGGTGAATGGAATGAAGGCCGCATATTTCGCACCTCCTTCAATTCTTTCCAGATATACGATTTGCGCAAAGAATCTTCATAATCATACAGAAAAACGGACGCGTCGTCATTTTTCTCCAATGCAGTCCATGTTGCCTCTGCAGCAAGCATTCCGGATTTCATAGCGGTGTGGGTACCCTTGATTTTTGGAACGTTGAGGAAGCCTGCAGTGTCACCAATTAAGGCGCCACCAGGAAAGGCGCATTTCGGTATCGATTGGAAGCCTCCTTCATTAAGAGCACGAGCTCCATATGATATGCATTTGCCACCTTCCAAAACATCTTTGTAAAGTGGGTGATGCTTCATCTTTTGGAATTCTTGATATGGTGACATCCAAGGATTTGGATAATCGAGTCCTACCACAAGTCCAATACTTACTAGATTATCGCCAAAGTGATACATCCAACCACCACCATAGGTGTCTGCTGGGAGAGGGTAACCCAAAGAGTGAATAACCTGGCCCTTCTTAAACTTTTCAGGTTGGATTTCCCAGACCTCCTTTATACCGAGGCCATAAGTTTGTGGTTGACTATCCCTACGGAGGTCAAATTTCTTGATGACTTGCTTTGTGAGACTTCCATGGCAACCTTCTGCGAACAGAGTTATTCTTGCGTGAAATTCCATTCCCCTCTCAAAACTATCCTTGGGTTTGCCACTTCTCGAAATACCTAGATCATTGGTGGCGACACCTTTGACGGACCCATCCGGCTTGTACAAAACTTCCGCTCCTGCAAAACCAGGATAAACTTCAACTCCAACCTCTTCTGCTCGATCTCCAAGCCATTTTGTGAATTGATTAAGACTGACGATATAGTTGCCGTGATTGTTCATCTGCGGCGGGGCAGGTAAAGGAATGGCGCTGCCTTTAGTAAGGAAACGCATCTTTTCACCTGAGACGGGAGTAACATTTTCGAATCTGTTCTCATTGTCCTCCGCGAGCCAATCTGGGAATAATTCGTTGATAGCCGTAGGTTCAATGACCGCGCCAGAAAGAATATGTGCCCCAATTTCACCCGCCTTTTCTAAGAGTATCACCCTGAAATCCTCGTTCCCTGCTTCGTTTGCGAGTTGCTTTAGTCGGATCGCAGCACTTAATCCAGAAGGACCTGTGAATGTTAATTAAATCCCTTGGCATGTGATAATATTCTTACCTCCTCCAACTATACATACATCAACCTCATCCGACTCCCTCTCCACCGATTTTGGATCAAAACCATCTTCGACGTCTGCCAATCGTCGAGGGACTGTGAGAGAGAAAGCGCATCTTTGACCAGCGATTAATGATGAGGCAATGCGGGGTCGCGATGTGGGATGTATGAATGATTGTTGAAGAATTCGCGGACATTGAGTTGCAATCCGGGAAGCATTTTGTCGCGCGATGTTACGCTGCAGACATGCTGTGACAGCCCTTGAAGAAGACATGATTATTGTCACCTCATATCAATTGTTCTTTTTTTTTTATATTTTTATATATTTTAAAGTACAATTGATTTGCCTCTTGACTCACGAATGCGCTCAGAACTCGAATTCGGATTCGGCGAAATTCTTCAAAGCTTCTCGTCTCGGCAAGACTGTACAACTGAACCTCGGACCAATCAAGTGTCACCCGAATGAAAGCCTTTTCAGCTGTCAGCAGCCAATTGAAAGCAGTAGATTGATTCAACAACCATGACAATTATCACGAAAGCACCAACAATCCCATCGTTGCAAGAGTCAGGGAAATGTATATCGTTACTATTCGAAGATTGGATTCTGGATAATCTGGTGGATGCGGAAAGATTGGAGTGTTATTTTGGGCAACGAATGAAGATACCTAGGCATTCTCGGTATTGTACTGTATGTACAGTATGTACTGTACTGACTATATGTACTGTATATATTGTACTGACTATATGTACTGTCCTGACTGTACTGACTATATCCTCGGAAGCGGTTCAGCGGGGTCGCAGTCGGATCGGAACGAAACGCAACCACCCCTCACAAATATGTGCTAGTTCTTCACGAATAGTATCATCTCCAATGTCAGCATTGTTTACCACTGGCTGAGTTTCTCCAGAGAGCACCGCTTCATCCATCATACATCAGACTCATGCCAAGACAGCAGGATTGTGGGTGTCAGTTATCAACGTTATCTTGTTTGCCCCGCGGTACTGATACATGTCGTGGAGAAGATGGTGATGAACAGAGTCCAAGCAAAGATGTCATCTCCTCAGACTGAATCTTGAGGTCAACTAAGCCATTTCTCATTTGCCTTGCTCAACCACAATGTTCTGGGAGAACTTGCGATGCGTGGTCAAATGTTCCGTTGGCACAAAGCCACAGAGAGATCGGTTTGAAGAACCCATCAAGTATATTTGCTCCATTCACCATCCGTTCAACGACTCCAGTGTAGTTTCATACTCTATTTCGAATTAGACATATCATGTCTTCCACCAAGACTCCCTGAGAACTTGGCGAAATATACGTGCCAAGGTATGTTTCTCAGAAACAAGACTTGGGATAAGAGCTTTTCCATTATTCAGATGATACCAAGCAATCGAAGATGATACAGACTACAGTTTATATCTCTTTAAAAATAGGACATTTGAGACTGTGCTACCGTTACACTTCCATTTTTGGGGCACGGTATTTCACACACCCGATGATCTTTGCTTGGGCCCACTCGTCTCGAAAGTATTTGATATCTCCTTATCGTTTGACGCTGTAGCCGAATTGGTTTAATCAACAGTTTGAAACCCCGATTTCTACACTACCGAATTGAGGACTACCTCAATTTGGTAAGATCTTACAATTGGCCACCGTGATTTCTATTTCATTTTTACGAGAGATCCTCAGATTTGGTTACAAAGATACATCCCATTCGAGACGATTGATGCTTAAGAAGCTTATTTTTCGTCTGGAACTATATTCCCGACGAAGCTAAACTGAATTTTCTTGTACTTTACTCTCCATGGGCGTGGGCGTGGGCGTGGGTACCAGAGAATCAGCGTTTCAAAGAACAAATTTACATCATACAACATCTACTGATTCCCATATTCTAATTATGGTGCCTTCCATGGTTCTTGCGTGAAACCGATACCATATGGGGTACGATGGGGTGTTTGTCAGCATACGATCAACAGAATAAACTTTCAAATGAAGTGAAGATCAGACGGGCTAATAAGCATGAGCTGATTGTCTTCCTTTCTATGGCGTCTCATGGTTTCAAGAAGTACGAGGTTCCATGGGGGTCCAGATCAGCCACCAGATCTGCCATTGTTTTCAAACTTGAAGATAAAAGCCTCGAAAGCCTCATGATTTGTATCTTCATTCTACATCAGCACTTCATCTCTTAATCTTTTGGTCTGTCTGCTTTATTTCCCTTTACATTTACGTTCTTTCAAAAGGTAAGTCTTTCTATTTTGATAGAGCATTGAACAATAATAACAATTTATAGCTGTGCTTTCTTACTTCATTACCTTTCTTATTTATCTCACAGCTTGACGCTTATCACCGTACATATTTCATCATGAAGGGTTTCGGATCTATCTTAGCATTCATTGCTATCTCTGCCACACTCGTTTCTTCCCGAGCTTTACCAGAGAGCGAGTCTGATCTCATTGCTAGAGCACCAGTTCCAAATGGTTAGCCAATAGCACCTCACGAAAAATAAACACGGCTAACAAGATCAGTATTTGAGTTCTATGCTCGATCACCAAAAAACAACCAAAACAACGGTGGCGATGACGAAGATGACAATGATGACAACGATACGGACGGCAACGACAGTGCTGGCTAGTCCTTTGGTCTCATTTCATATCATTACTTTATACTGACTACCACTTCTAGCTAATGCAACAGCCAATGCTGCCGCAGATAATCCAAAGGCAAAGGGAAGTGCCAGTCTCAATGTGAACGCCGCAGCTTCAACCGGAGCTGGAGAGAAAGGCAAAGCAAGCAAGGCTCGTCCTACCACATACTTATCCGTATATCTCACAATACTAACTCATCACAGGGAAGCGCAAAGGCAACAGGTGGTGTAGCACAAGCAAGTGGTGCAGCGAAAGCAACTGGCGCAGCAAAAGCGACTGGCGCAGCAAAAGCAACTGGCGCAGAAAAGGCGACTGGCGCAGAAAAGGCAACTGGTGCAGCAAAGGCAACTGGTGCAGCAAAGGCAACTGGCGCAGCAAAAGCAGGCAAAGGTGATGCTGATCCCGCTGCGGACGGAGCTAGCACCGCTAAGGCAGGCAAAGGTGATGCTGATCCCGCTGCGGACGGAGCTAGCACCGCTAAGGCAGGCAAAGGTGATGCTGATCCCGCTGCGGACGGAGCTAGCACCGCTAAGGCAGGCAAAGGTGATGCTGATCCTGCTGCGGACGGAGCCAGCACCGCCAACCAATCTCTCACTGGTGAGATTCAGACCGAGCTCAGCTCTCTCGGACTCCGTGGCCTTCCTCTCCTCGAATCAAGAAAGAACAAGAACGGTACCGCTGCTGCCTCTGGGACTACTGGTGGTAACAATGCTGCTTCAACCGGTAATGCAGGAAAGAAGGGTAAAGGTGCTAAGGGGGCTGCTAAGCCTACCGGTGCTAGTGTTGCTTCCAGTGCTGCTGCGTCTGCGACAAACTAGTGGTTCTTCTCTTTCCTTTTTTCATGTTTTGAGGTGTTTGAATCGGATTTGGGAGGGTTCGGTTGGAAAATAAAAAATTGGACCAGGCGGTTTGATACCAGTCAACTGGGTTGATGTCCACGTGTTGTACTTTAGAAGATATGGTGTTCTGAGCTATAGATTTGAATGAAAAGCAATTTTAATCGAAATGTCCTGTGTTGGGTGAAAGGTTGTTTTAGGATTATTTCTCCATTTTCATCATGTTGAACTCAATCTCTGTTCAATTGGTAGATAACTTCTGGCTTGAATAGCTTCATCATGTGATACCAAACATCTACTGCTTGCTATATTTCCATTATGGCTATATTCTTAAGATAGGAAGTATCCTCGTGATTTACCACATGTATCACAATTACTACATAGTACCGAGCCAGCATCATGATGTATCACTTTCCAAAAGATCCCTTTCTCACTTACCACACAAATTGTCATGAGTCACAAGCCCCATCTACAGGAAGTATAAAATGGTCTCTTCATGCAACCTTCACACTCCCAAACTCTATACGCATTGTGCATGGAAGACCCTCATGTAACTTTGGATGTGGATTACTAGATGCTAGATACGATCTCTACACAGTCATATGGGTCGAATGTCGCTCGAGTCTAAGATAATATGAAGAAATGGGTAGATATTATTGAATCTCCTATTCGTCGTCGATGATGCGTATTATTATGCTCACTGCTAAATCGTCACTCTCGACGGTTGGTACTGCTTGTCAGCATGCAGGGAGAGGATAGCTATAAAAAAAGCATATGAAGCGTAGAGTTAATAACGCATATAAGAAACGTAATAGACAGCAGAAAAAATGTAGCGGGATAAACTGTTCTCAATGGCGTATCTAGCTTCCATTGCGGTGTCGATCAATATAGTTAGGATAGGTTGTTGGAGTTGTTCTTGGGTGATTGTTGGGGGGAGGGGGGTTAAATATCTATTGGCATTAATAAATTTTAAGCAACGACTGCTTGGTTTTCCATCTTCGCCACAATGGATATCTAAATTGATTTCGATTTCTAGATACTTTCCTTTTCCTTCTTTCCTGTTTCCAGCAAATGAATTTACGAACCAGCCTCCTGATTACAAGGTATTTGCATATTGTGCCAGCTTTCTTCTCACATACGTTACTAATTTGCACTAATAAAGATCTACTCACTTCCAGTACTCAAGAAACATAAACACGAAAGAAACCTACAGCTCAGATAGATTTCTCTTAATCTTTCCGCTATATAAAGCACTAACTCTCCTTACTCTGATCGTGTCAACTGAAAGTTAGAGGCTCCTCAAAACGCTGCCATATGGAGATTTTAGTGGCTGAGTGGTAGTACGATATCTTCTAGCCGTGGATCTTCTGCCTGATACGGAGTGAAAGCTTGGTAGTTGTAGCTGGGGTATAGAATTTGTTCTTTTTGTTCGTATGTTCTATTGTTGATCAATTCACTCTTGTTGTCGCTAGATTTGTGATATCGCATCTGGAAAAGATTCTACACTATTGTTGCCGCAAAAATCCTATACTCAATCAATCATCAGCAGATACTCAATGCAATCCTAGAAGTAGATTGCAGGCAGAAGCTCTCTGACATTAAGCATGTCTTTAGCAGCTGGTATTTTTCTTTACTTTCCAAGACCTTGGGATCCTGCTGTCTCTAAATAGTCTCTACCTAAACTATCTCAGCATCTGAACTCGAGCCTCTTCACCAACATGCCATCATCTCCTACTGGTCCCACGCCCGTTTTCGTCTAGTTTCTTATCCACACTGCCGAATTCACCATACTACTTTAATTCAAAGCTCGTGTTATATAAGTCTTTTTCTATCCTCATATACCGACAAGCAAGCATCTAATGACAAGCCAGTCATTACCTAGGTATCGTTCAATTGATGTGTACTTTCAGGACAATAACAGCCCGCTAGTCAATAGTCCTTATAATCGCTTGTAATGTAATGTGGATCGTGTGTGAGATACTTGGGGGATATTCGGAAGTAAGTTATTGCCATAGATTATCTTCCACCGATATTGAGTATTATTGTCATCGAAACTCGACTGAGATGCCGCTGCCACTAAAACCTAATTTATATCATTCGATTCCCACTCTACTCTTCCAACATTTCCTAGGACACATAATGAGCGAGAACCATCAAATTGCAGATTGGTGATCCTATAAGATTATCTCCCTCCATCCCAGCAAAGCGAACCATACTCAGGTGGAAATTGCTTTCTAACCTTGTGTGCCACGGTTCATCGAGTCTCACACATTTAAGCAAGGAATATGAAATTTTTGGATGAGACTCACTATACTAAAGAAGATGTAGCAATTAGATCTAACAATTTCCCTCTTTTTCGATTCTTGACTTAAGTGTGGATAGTATCCGCTTCTAGCACGTAATTTATCAATCTCATGATGTTAAGTTGGTCTCTAGCTGTCTATAAAAGGCTCTCCATGGTTTATTCTTTAATGACAAAATTGCTCAAGTACCAATCTACAAGGAACCCAAGAACTAGATGAGTCTCCTCCCGTTTGTACTATTTGTGGATTCTGGAGAGAATTCTCCTCCAGACACAAAGTTGTTGCCGACTTTACTTCCCCTGAAAATAGATTCAAAACTATGGATAAATGACAGTGATCACCATTTTGACATTCAATTTCCTTGGGAATAGCAGTTGTCAATGTTGTTAGGAAAGATTACTCCCTTGTAGTGATAGCTACAGGATCACTGCATCGAAAGTTCAGAACAAGGTTATGGGGGTCAGATCGAAGTATGGACGAGAGCATGCCGAGATTTGTCTCTTGTGGTATACTCAAGCCATGGCTTGTAAATAGAGAACCATTGGTGATTTAAATACTGGGGAATATAACTTCATCACCTCGCGACATTGGACGTCTGACCCTAAAGATAGCAAGTGGTAACCAATCGATTGCCCTTTACTCCTTATTATTCTGAGAGCCAAGAGCTAGGTATGATCACGATGTTCTCTCGTCCCTTGAGGTCTTTTGCTATCATTGATGATTAAGACTTGTGCGGATAACAAAACTTCTTGCTGCCATTACTTTCCCAAGAGCCGCCATCAACCACCAACATTCCACTTCATATGCCACCGCACCAGGGAAGATGGTACCTCACACGAATTCCCACGAATTCCCACAAATAGAGTAGAAAACTTTCGGTAGTAGCACTTCTCTGACAATATCCTCAAAGGACTTTGAGACGGTTCAATATGTGTTCGCAATGCAGAACAAGAACACTAAAAGTTCCTTTTTATGGACCCAGCCACCGAAATCCAGATAGCCTACGTCATGCAAAGTACCATTCACTCCCTCTAAACTTACGCAATACACTATGGCGCTATGTTCTCCACTGAGGCCATCTCATCAATTGACTCTTGTCGGTCCACGAGCCAGTCCAACCCCCCACGAGACCTTCGATCTACCTACAAATACGTATCCCTTCCATTCCTAACCACTTTTTCTTTCCACAAAATCACGATAGCGAATGTAACACTTGTGAGATGTTCCTAGCCTTTCAAAGCGGGCGCCAGAGGACTAAGTAGCTCAACGATGCCACAAGTTGAGTCATTATCTGATGGAAGATATGGCGTCCGCTAGCTTTCTTTAAGATATTGTATACTCGCTATCAAGTCTGAACTTGGGGTTTTACTGCCGTTCTCGATTATGACCCAAGTTATGTTTGATTGTCGCTTCTGCTGTAAATTTTATCATTGCCATCTTTGTTATTGTTGATCCTAAATGCAAAGTAAACTGGACCTCTCCCGCAACATTGAGATTGTTGACGTGGTCAAATGGAAACAAAAAGTCCGGCTAGACATAGGGACTACCGGTCTTTCACAAGCGTCTTGGGCCTTTTTTCTTTTCTTCGGACATTCGTAATTTGTAGAGAATACCTACAGACAGTCAATTATTATAACCGGCTACTGTTAGGTTTTCCATCGTATACAACGTGGCTCAAGATATGACTGCGAATACTTGATCAGTGCTGTGTGATCTGTATGTATGATTTCCAACCACAATTTCGATACTTCAACAGACATCAGCATTTTATGTCCCAATACAAGGCTTTACTTACACTCTCTTACTTCTTCTACTCTTCTTTCCATTTACAATATTGTATGAATCTTGATTATCTTCACGACCGGATCCATTGCGCCCCACAATCACACATAGGAATGAACAAGACCCACACTTGCTTGCCACATCATTCTCCCCAAAGACTGCAAGTGTTGCACTTCTGATTCTCTTCCAGGTGGTGACCGATATAATCGTACGCGGAGGTTCAAGGCCCACTACATCGAAACCCCACCAGCTTTTAATTATCGAAAATCCGTAGTCACTAGTCCCAAGAAAACCCCAATCTTCAAAAGCCAAAACACTACCGCCATCACCAGCCACAAGCACGATGTAATCCTTCTCCAAACAACAAGGCAGATTCGTGAAACTCAGGTGCTCCTCATGTAGCTGGGGCAAGATCCAAAACGAAGATGCAGGAAGTATTCTCTTGAGGGATCAAGCGTACCTTATACTCCGCAGATAGAATTCCCAGCGCACATGTAGCCATTGTAACCAAGGAGCTCTAATCCTAAAAGCTAGAGTTCGTGGGCTCGAGAAATAGTAAACTTTGAGTTGTTTTTCCTCAAGAGTTCGTTGAGAAACTTTTTCAACGAGAAACTGTAAGCGCGAGACTCGCAAGGAGGATGGCGCTTCATTTAAATTCCAGCCAAGTCAGTCTTTGTGATTTGTGTGGCGAAAGAATGCATTGATTTTCAGACGCGTCTTTGGGAACCGATTCGGCCTGGGTTTCGAAGTGTCAAGACTCCATATTATGGAACTGCAGGCAAATAGTGGTGTGATACGAACTGTGTCGTTCGGACACGGAGTGGTACCCTTGCTTGAAACTGGAGAAGTTAGCATTTAAATGGCCAATTACTCAAATGCTCACGTCATTTGGTGGGATCAGCATGCTTTCTAGCATCGATTTGGGTTGTAAATCAGTGGTTGATGAGTCTTGCTCGAAAGGTGGTGTGCGGAAGTGTCAGTAATATCGCAAAGCAATTGGGAACTCTATGCAGCATGCTTTGAGAATTATTGGATTGGACTAACGGATCTTAAAGAGATCTTCTTAAGAATGCAAACCCGTTGATGCTCTCAATATTTCATGCGAACCCTAAACAATGAACGATGAATAGGCGTTATAGCACTGGAGTCAATTAAAAGCACAATGGCACGGAAGTCCGATGCCCATACCTTTGCTCATGGGAGGACACAAAAGCAAGAGCTGCTAGAAAATTGGACCGTCAATGTAGGTAATCATTCATACAGTTTACCGATATCTACCTTGATGTCTACGAGACAGCAATGCGAGAATTGATGATGGAACCCAAAGGTCTTGCGACTTCTGCGGAGCTACACAGCTTTTTTGTCAAACTCAAGACCAACCTGCAATGATCGAGAGAACTCCAGAGGGGACACAAGAAAAGTCCTAAAAGTACTACCTAGGAAGACTAGATAACATTGAGGTAGGTGTACGCTGAACGGCAGCAACATTGAAGACTGCAATTAAAAAGTAGTTCTGCGTCGCAGAAAGACTGACAGAACTGAGCTAAATGTGCGTTGAAGTATGCAATACATTCACCAAGATGCAGCAGTTGCACATTCGGTATTGTATCCAGCAACACTGTTGAGGTAAGGTCTGGCTTCAATGGCAAGATATACCAATGAATAAGCATGGTTTGAAGACTGAAGCTAAGGCCATGGACAGTCGTCCTCGGAACCATCACCATATCACAGTTGTGAAGGTGATTCTCTCGGCGCGCCGAGAGGTACTAAGGATTTCTCCCACAGATAAATTTCCAAATCAGTTCCAGAAATGTTCTTCCAAAAACAATCTCAGATCAACAACCTTGGAAGAACTCAATTGGACTCTTTTCACAACCATTCCTTACAAATACCTCTCATCACATTGTATCAAAGAAGTTACACACAAACCATCATCATGAGCGCTCCAAATGAACTTGTTTGGTTGGGTAAACTCTTTTTGTTCAGATTGAACAACAAAGTCGTTGATACCTATGAAGCTTGCAAGAAGAAGATTTTGGAGAAGGTCAACAACAAGAAAGTCAAGAAAGTTGATGCTGTCCAAGAGGTTGAGGTTCAGCAGCCTTCCAGAGTCACTCATGTAAGAATGCAGATTACTAAGACAACCTGTCCAAGTTATGGAGATCGTTTTGAAGTTGTGGCTCAATTTCGGGAGCGAAACCAAGCAACCGGCGGAGCGGAAAATTAGCGGCTTGGCTAAATATTACCGATCAACCCTCACAACCTCATCATCACCACCATCGCATCAACAACTCCACCAGCACTCTCTCTTTTTCTCGCAAATCGTCACATCGCAACCCGTTTTTCCAAATATCGCAAGTCTTTCGAAAATGTCTTTTACACGCGCCATTCCTCGCGCTACCAGCACCATCGTCCGCACACAATCAGCAGTTCTCAACCAAGCACGAAATTTGTCTATTACCGCAGCCCGAAATTCAGCAGATCATGGTGACCACTATGATCCACCGAGCGGATGGTTATTTGGAGTGAAACCTGGAGAGAAGGCAGAGAAGGAGGGATGGGAAAATTTATGGGTGTACGGGTTTTTTGGAACTTGTGCTTTTGGAATTGTGGGTTATGCGGTTAAGCCAGATACCTCGTAGGTTTTTTATTTCTTTGTTTTGACGGGAATTCTTGTATGGGTCAAAGGTTGAAAGTGAGGTGATTGGTTTTGGGACTTTTCGGGATGGGCTGAAAGATCAGGGATTTTCAGAAGAGGGGTGGAGGGGTTGTGGCAAGAATGGAGCAAGAGAAATTTGGACGACAGGTTTCTACAGATACAGAATCACGCACGAGGCACAAGCAGCTGCTAACCATCATTCACAGAATACAAACATGGGCATTAGAAGAAGCACGCAGAAGGTTAGAAGCCGAGGGGATCTTGAAGGAGCCAGAAGACAAATCATAAACCATTATACTATTGGGCAAGCAAGTTACAATGGAGAATCTGGAACTGGATGGAACGCTTAAGGACGAAGACTGATGGAGCAGGGGAGTTGTACATACGAAGGATTGATGATGGAAGGCTATGAACATCTTGCGCAGAATTCCAAGATGTACGGGTTGCACGGAATATTATGCGTGCTAATAGAGCGAAGGAATGTTATTGAGTTTCTTTTCTTTTCTTTCTTAAGGAACTTGGTATCAACATGAGCTTACTTTGAATTTCGTTTGGTATGTGGTGATTAAAAAGTGAAAATTTGGAACTCGATGAAAGACCCGCGTACCGCTCATCAGATCAGGATTGCTATCTGGTCATCATTGGATTTGATATTTTTCAACTTCGATCATGTCTTCTCTCACCTGTTCAAATTCCGGCAGAAGATAGTCTTTCACAATGTGATTTTGCAAGTTCAAAGTATGACTAATATATATCCCATTTTTCGCTTTTCCATTCATCCGGCTCTATGAATACATACAAATATATAGCTCGTTAATTAGGTACAACATAACTCCACTCATGCTCTTCATCACCATATTGTCTAGCCTCGATCCATTCTTTCATCTTCAATGCGATCTCACCAGCTTCTTGATCTGGTCTCAATCCACACTCGACCAAATTACCCTTCCATGAGATATTTCTCACTGGACTGACGACTGCAGCGGTTCCTGCTCCGAACGCCTCTAATAATCTACCTTCCTTTGATGCATCTGCTAGCTCACTCATAGTGTATTTACGCTCAGAAATGATCCACCCCTCCTTGGCAAGCTTCTCGCGAGCTAAAGATAGAACAGAGTCTCTTGTGACACCTCCCAGAATTGTACCGTCCAATGGAGCGGTAACCAATTCCTTTTGGCCTTCCTTATTCTTAATAACCACAAACATGTTCATGGTTCCAACCTCGGTAACATACTCCTCCTCGCCGAACAACCATAAGTTTTGGTGGAACCCCCTCTTGGCGGCCTCTAATTGTGGCAAGATACATGGAGCATAGTTTGCACCCAACTTTTTATCTCCAACTCCTCCAGGCCATGCTCTTACGGCATAATCTGTAGCTTCTAAGGACACAGCCTTGAACCCAGTAGGGTAATAGGGCCCAACTGGAGAAGCAATAACATATAGTAAAGCGGAACCTGGTGGTCCAACACCTAGTGTTCTTTGTGTTCCAATCATAGTCGGTCTTAGATATAAAGAATATCCTCTTTCATCTGGAATGAAACGTTTCTCCATAGCAACGAATTTTGAGATCAATTCAATCATAGCGGATTGATCGAAAGTCGGCAGAGCAATACGAGCGGAAGATTTGTTCATTCGTTCCATATTCTTGGTAGGTCTGAAGAGCCGTACCTTTCCGCTTTTATCCTTGTATGCCTTCATTCCTTCGAAACACTCGAATGCATAGTGGAAAACGCAGGACGCGGGATCGAGGGAAAGATTTTGGTAAGGTGTTATGCGTGCGGGTAACCAACCATCTGAAGCTGTCCATTCAATACTAAGCATATGATCTATGGGCGGTCAGCAATTGTCAATGTTGTGAGATCTCCGAGGAGCTTGCCTGTAAACGATCTTCCAAATACCAATTCATTGGGGGGGAGTGGTTCTTTAGGAGTAGTCTTTTTCGTTATGGTCAATTTGGTAGGGTCGATATCTTGTAGCTTCGTCGTAGAAGCAGCTTCTGCTTGTATGCTGTATAATCTCGAAGAAGCCTCCCATCGCCTCAACACTCTGGAGCTTGGCTTTGCGAAAGCTGTCCCTCTTGGGAACAATTGACGAAGCATTTTGACCAATTTCAAAGAATAAAAAGTTGGGATGAACCTCGATATGTGAATTGGGACACTTGAGCTTCTTAAATGTGTAAGATCCCACCTATGCTTTGAAATGGTCCTCGGAGCCAGTCATTCAACTCTCAATGTCCAAAATAAATTTAAATGCTGTGACCACCACTTCCCGGCTCCGAGTTGCGGAGTGTCAGGATAATCATGTCCCATCAGATTGCAAGGATTAGAAAGATAACATTTAAATCTTATGCAGACTTATTAAGCAACATATCCCTGAAATCACAAGCTTAACACTCGTTGTGGTCGAATTCCTGAGTAGGCGTCCCTTTATTATTTTGACAAGGCTTACAGTTTTTGTACACCCAGCGGGAGGGAAAAGTTGCGAAACCACAAAGGAATATATCCATCGTCTAAGAAAGGTCCAGGGGAAAATCATCAACTGTCACTCTAACGAGATCATACCAGTCAAGATAAGCTTCCTTACAATATATTTAATCAAGGGTACAAGGTTTATGCGACAGAAGTTCGGACAATCCTTTGATACTCTAGTGTTGGTGGGAGGAGACTTGCGAAGATGTTCAGTTCCGCGTTGAAGTCCTTCACCTCGAATATCAACTCGAACTACTCAGTATCCTCCACACCCAGTTCATACTCAGGACCATGGAAAATATACGATGCGAAAAAGAAATCAACAGGAAAGACTGCTTCAGTCTTTGTCCTCGATCGCAAAGCCTTGGACGCACA